GAGAACAATACAAAGAATCAATGAAACAAAGAGTTTGTTCTTTGAGAAAATCAACAAGATAGACAAGCTCTTATTCAGACTACCAAAAGGCAGAGAGAGAGCATCCAAATTTGGAAAATTTCAAATGAAAAGGGAGACATAAAACTGGCAGTGAGGAGATCTAGAGAATCATCAGGTCATACTTGAAAAACCTGTACTCCAAAAAATTACAAAATCTAAAAGAAATGAACAATTTTCTGGATAGGTACCACATACCTAAATTAAATCAAGACTAGATCAACCATTTAAATACACCAATAACAGCTAAGGAAATAGAAACTGTCATTAAAAGTCTCCCAACCAAAAAAAGCCCAGGACCAGATGGTTTCAATGCAGAATTCTACCAAATCTTCAAAGAAGATTTAATACCAATACTCTTTAAATTGTTCCACACAATAGAAACCGAAGGAACGTTACCAAACTCTTTCTATTAGGCTATGTTTACTCTGATTCCCAAGCCAAACAAAGATGCAACAAAGAAAGCAAATTACAGACCAATCTCCATCATGAATATTCAAACAAAAATATCAATAGAATATTGGCAAACAGACTCCAAGAACACAACAAAACAATGGTCCACGTTGATCAAGTAGACTTGATCCCAGAGATGCAAGGATGGTTCAACACATGGAAGTCCATCCATATAATACACCATATAAACAAACTGAAAGAAAAAACCACATGATCATTTCCTTAGATGTTGAAAAGACCTTTGACAAAATCCAACACCCTTTCTTGGAGAGATCAGGAATGCAGGAAACATACCTAAACATAATATAGGCAATTTAAAGCAAGCCAACAGCCAACATCAAAGTAAACAGAGAGAAACTCAAAGCAGTTCCACCAAAATTAGGAACAAAACAAGGCTGTCCACTCTCCTCATATTTATTCAATATAGTACTTGAAGTTCTAGCTAGAGCAATAAAACAACAAAAGGAGATCAAGGGGATACAAATTGGAAAGGAAGAAGTCAAACGTTCACTATTTGCAGATGACATGATAGTATATATAAGTGACCCCAAAAATTTGACCAAGAACTCTTACAGCTGATAAACACCTTCACTAATTTGACAGGATACCAGATTAACTCAAAAAATTAGTAGCCTTCCTATATACAAATGAGAAACTGTCTGAGAAAGAAATCAGAAACATCACCCTTTACAATAGCCACAAATAATATAAAATACCTTGGGGTAACTCTAACTAAGCAAGCAAAGGACCTGAATGACAAAAACTTTAAGTCCCTGAAGAAAGAATTTGAAGAAGATGTCAAAAAATGGAAATATCTCCCATGCTCATGGATAGGTAAGATTAACATAATAAAAGTGGTTATCTTACCAAAAGCAATCTACAATTTCAGTGCAATTCTCATCAAAATCCCAACACAATTCTTCACAGACCTAGATAGAACAATACTCAACTTCATATGGAAAAACTAAAAACCCAGGATATCCAAAAGAATCCTGTATAATAAAACAACCTCTGGAGGCCTCACAATCCCTGACTTCAAGCTCTACTATAGCCTGACAGTAAGAAAAACAGCTTGGTACTAGCATAAAAACTGAAACGTGGACAAATAGAACCAAACTGAAGACCCTGACATTAATCTGGACATCTATGAATAGATGATTTTTGACAAAGAAGCACAAACTATACAATGGTAAAAAGAAAACATCTTCAACAAATGGTGCTGGCATAACTGGATGTCAATATGCAGAAGACTGTCACCATATGCATATATGCATATGCACAATATGCATATCTGTCACCATGCACAAAACTTAAGCCCAAGTGGATCGAAGACCTCAACATGAATCCAGTTACTCTAAACCTGATAGAAGAGAAAGTAGGAAGTGTTCTTGAATGCATTGGCACCAGAGATAACTTCCTAAATATAACTCCAGTAGCACAGACACTGAGAGAAACAATTAATAAATGGGACCTCCAGGGACCCTATGAAAGACACAGGATTACCCAGTGATGGAGAAATGGATGAGATCTACATGAGCAAACTGGGGTTGAGAGGGTGTAATGGAGGGCAAGGGTCAGGGGAAAGAGAGCTTAGGGGAGGGAGCAGGAGGTCCTAGGTGGATCAGAAACAGAGTGAGAGAACAAGGAAAGAGATATCATGATAAATGAAGCCACCATGGGAATAAGAAGATACAGAGTGCTAGAAAGTTCCCCAGAAATCCACAAAGATGACTCCAGTATAGACTATTGGCAATAGAAGAGAGGGTGCCTGAACTGACCTACACTGGTGATCAGAGGGTTGAACACCCTAACTGTCAAGATAGCACCCTCATTCAGGGACTATGGAAGCAGATGCATAGCTCCACTGCCAAGCCCCAGGTGGAGCTCCAGGAGTCTAATGGATGAGAGAGAGGAGGGAGCATATGAGAGAGACATCAAGACCATGATTGGAAAAAGTACAGAGACAACTAGCCAAAATAGTGGAAAAACATGAACTGTGTCCAATAGCTGAGGAACCCCCATGGAACTGGATTAGGTCCTCTGGATAAGTGAGAGTGTTGTGTAGCTTGCCTTGGAGGAGATGGGAATGGGGGGTGGGCTGTGGGGGAGAGGGAGGGAGGTGGGAGGAGGGAGGAGCCTATCTGTGGTTGATATGTAAAACAAATAGAAAATCACTTAATAAAAAAAGAAAAAAGAAATATAAAAATTCAATTCTGTTGGCTCTTTTGAATTTATTGGTGTGAAACAGAGTTGTCCTATTGAGTTACAGAACCTGGAAGGCATTCTTGCTGTCCATCTGACCCTCTGTGACCAGATGAGTTTTGATCAGGTTGCTAAGATTGTTCAGTGACAGATGAATAATCAGTAAAACAAGGGATGTTGGGAAAATGGGATATCCAGGTAAAAGAATGAAGTTAAGCCTTCACCTAACAACATATAAAAATCAACTCTAAATGGATCAAAGACCTAAAATGGATCAGAGCTGAAAGTCATCAGACTTTTAGGAGATAGGATGAAAGCATCTTGAAATTTGATTTCAAATGATGTCTTTGTTATGATGCCAGATGCATCATATGGGCCTTTTGGCTGCTTATATGTCTTTACACCACATGCATATTTTGTACATGAGGAGGACAGAAGAGGGTGTTGAATTCCTTGGAACTTCATTACAGACAGTAATAAGCTGCCATGTGGGTACTGGGAATTGAACCCCTGTCTATTGAAAGAGTTGCTAGGGCTCTTAACTATTGTGCTATCCCTCCAGTCCCATAAACCATACACACACACACACACACACACACACACACATACTACAACACACCACAAAAAAAAGTTATTAGAAAAAACCTTGTGCAGGGATGTCATGCTTCAAATGTCAGCATGAGGTTAAGAAACTCAGTACATGGGCCACCAAGATGGCTCAGTTGGGAAGAGTGTCTGCCATACTCCCTCCCAGTGCCTGCCCCTAACTGCCACACAGAAATAAATGCACAAACAAATGTGGGCCAGTGAAATAGCTTAGCAGATAAAGGGTTTGTTCACGCACCTAAGTTCAATCCCCTGTCCCTGGAGAACTGGCCTTCACATATTTTTCCCTAACCTCCACTCATGGGTGTGAGACATGCACACAAAATGAATAAATATGCAAATGTACTAAGAATCTCATTATAGGTCCTTTCTATCTATGAATTTTATATTTATGGACTGAAACCTTGGAAACAAACTACTTGAAATAGTATCTTTATAGTGAAAAATGTATTGTTTCCTCCTATCATGGTCCTGTACTTAACACAATAAGACTAGTGTCTATGTAGTATTCATATTAGGCATTGAAAATAATCTAAAGAAGATCTGAATATGTGGAAAGATGTATAGAGTAACTTGAATATTTTACTAGTTTGTGAGGGTTGACTGCTTGACTGACTCAGACCCTAAAGTCTTAATCATTTTGCATTTCTATTTGCTATATTGACATCTACTGTTCTTATTATTGACCAGGTCTCACAATGTAATCTGAGCTGGCCTCCTACTTCGTCCTCTCTCTCTCTCTCATGAAACAGGGTCTCACTATGTAATTCTGGCTAACCTGAAACTGGCTACAAAGACCAGGGTGGCTGGGAACTCATAGGGATCCAACTGTCTCTGCTTCTGGTGTATTTGGGTTAAAGGCATGCAGCACTGTGCACACCTTGCTTGGTGTTGTATCATGAGATTAACATGCATCCATCACCAAGCTGGCTGTATTTGTTTCCTGAACAATGTTTTTCTCTGTTACTTTGATCCATTCTGCACTCTGTTGATAAATACACTGCCCCCATCCCCAACACTGTGGAGTAAGGAGGAAACAGAGGTCACTCACGTATTATGTCCAGCTGGATGGGGTCACTCCTCTTGGAACTGACTTCATTGGATACTTCACACTGATAGTCTCCAGAATCCTCAATCCTCACAGAGTCTATTTGGAGGGTGTGGTTGTTCTCGGACAGCCTTATCCTATTGGTGATCACAAGAATATTGCCTTTGAAGAACCACTGGTAGGAGATCCCATTGCCGTTTGACAAGCAGGTCAGGAACACAGAGATCAGGTTTTTTACTGTTTTATTGGTGACTTGGATGAAGGGCGTATTCAATGGATCTGTGGATAAACAATGGAGGTGACCAGCTGAGAGTCCTTCACCTTCAGAGATCTCAGCCAGCTCACGGGGCCTGTAGGATGAAGGGACCCTCTTCAAGATTGCATGTTTGGGATCAAGATATGGTCTGTAGGGAGAGAGATGAAAATAACTCCTAACAAGATCACTCTCAGTGACCCTGACTCAGGGTATTTGTGTAGATTCGACACTGGGAGCCTATTCAACCCACCTGTCCAGAAATCTCGTGGTGGTGAGGGAAAATGTATTTCCCAATGATATTTATGGGAATTCTTGCTCACACTCTCTGTGATTGTGAACAGTCAGGTCACTCTTTTATTAAATAGCCTTCTGTTTCCTTTTTATTAAATAAATTTCATGGGGTTAAGATGGCCTAGCTAATCTTAAAGTTGTTAAAGGCTAGACCTAAGGACTGGGAGAAATCCCAAACTGAAGGCTTTCTGCTTTTAGAAAAATATAGTATTTCCTGCCCAAGGATATGGTTTTAAAACTACAGAGAAGAAAGTGAATAATAATAGTGCTGACCACAGCCTACCACTCTAATCCTCAGTATTGATATTTTTGAGACAGGGTCTCAGTACAGTCCTTGCTTGCTTGTAACTTGCTATGTAGACCAGGATGGCCTTAAACACATACTATCTACCTGCCTGTAGCTCCTCAGAGCTGGCATCAAAGATGTGTGCCACCACACTCATATTTATTTTTTGAGCCTTGAGAAGAGTAAGCAAAAGAGCATCATCGGTCAGATACATGGTTCACCGTGACTCAGAACAGGGCTCCCAGGCACCTTCTCCACCACTCTTCAAATTCCATGGAGTCAGAGCTGAGAGAGGAGCAGACCTGAGAGCAGAGTTCCTGTCACCATCGGTGGGGAATATTCTCATCCAATGTGGAGAATAAGGAAGTGAGCAGAGCTGAAAGCCCTGGGTGTTCCTTGTAGGTAATTTAGGGAAAGAAAACATTTGACTTGCTAGACACAAGCATAGACATTTCTTATATTTTAGAAAATGATTGGCCAAGTACTTAAGATAATTATTACTCCTTCACCTCTTACAGGTCTAGGTCAAGCTAAATCTCAGAAATATTAAAATGACCAGATAGATAAAATTAAAGCCTATTCTTCCCAGAGGCATCCCCTTTACACCTAACACTCTGTGGGAATGAGACATGCTGAAGTTAATTTGTGTATCATTAATCTCTGCTATGGAATATTATCAGCTCAAATGCTATAGATGGTTGTTAAACTTAAAAGAACTTGTGTAAACAAACCAAAGGCATAATTGAGTCCATTATTCTAGAAATTATAAATGACAGACATGGCTTAGGGTATCAAAATTTATCTTAGGGGCCACTGTTGACTGCTGACCGCACTACATGGAAATGTGATGCTCCTATCTGGGTTAAACAATAGACTTCGAATGCTGAGAGAATTGTAGCAGCTATTTGTCTGGTGGAGGGCAAGCTTAAAAATAGGGCATATAAAACCTCCCACTAGCCCTTGAGTCACCCCAATATTTGTTGATTAGAAAAAATCAGGCTTACAGGCTGTTACAAGACCTTTAAAAATTAAATGAACTTTTTGGGAACCAAGGGGAGCTTCACAGCCTGGCTTGCCATCTCCCACAGCCACACTGAGAATTCAAAATATAATTGTCATAGACTTATGAGTTGCTTCTTCATCATACCTCCTCATCCTAAATATTGTTAGCATTTCACTTTCAGCTTGCATTGCAACCCTGAAATAATGAAAGTCAAATGCTGACATGCAGAACAGGTAATATGAGTTCTGTTTACCCAGAACTCATTGATTGCGCTGAGTTCCACATCATATATACAGATTAACTATCAGAACTATCTGTCAATTAGGGTTTCCTCACAGTCCCCCAACCCAATATATATATATATATATATATATATATATATATATATATATATATATATAACTATTATTACACAGGTGATATTACATTTATAACAAGCTATAAAACTATGTGTCCATTGATTGGCAGATAGGTCTATACTGGTACTTTCTCATGTCTGTCTAACAATTACAAATTCTCTCCCTATGGAAGCTCAACCATTAGGCCTATGTCCTTATGATTTATGTGTATGAAGTAAAAAAAGGATACAGAATTTTTCCACTGCTTTTCAATTTTAAGAAGACCTAGAGCTCATTATTGGACAAAGGCCTTACATATACTTCAAGAGCTCTTAACAATTGGAGCTTAATTTTTCATATCTCCACTACAGGCATTCCTTACTACCACTGGCAAAGCCACAAAGATACACCTAAGCAGCCAGAACCTTCACACTTGCATTTGTAAAGGTCCTGATGTTTTCATAATGTCAAAAGAGGATATACTTACATGTTTTCACAGGATACTGACCCCACATTATGAATCCTGGATTGCCTGGTCACACCGTACACTAGGATGCTGTAGGACAAAGGTGCTCTAAAGCTGCCAGTCTGAATTGAGGCTGTTATTTACTTGTAGATACTTAAATATTGTACTGTGACTAAAAAATAAATGATACAATTCCAGATTTTTTTGATGAATTCTGTTCATCAATAATATCAAAACGTATAGAAATATAGTTAGAAAAAATCCTGTCCTAAATGAATTATTAATTTTGATCAAAAGATAATTGAGACTTGAGATATATTGCTGTGGGACGGTCTGTATGTCAAATTGCTCTGATTGGTCAATAAATAAAACACTGATTGGCCAGTGGCCAGGCAGGAAGTAGGTGGGACAAGTACACCTAACACTCTGTGGGAATGAGACATGCTG